ATCGTCCCGCCAGGCCGCCACGTCGGCTTCGAAGTCGGCCGGATTCGCGTCGTTTTCGCCCGGACGGGGGGTCGCGGGGCGGGCCGAGGGCCGCGCGAGCGCCGCCCCCGGACTGCCGTCCTCGCGGCGTTCACTCGGCCTCTCCAAGCCCGCCGTTAAATCCCAAGTCGAAGTCCCGTCTTCGGTTCCTTCGCCAGGCCTTTCCGAGGCCGTTTTTAAATTCGAAGTCGAAGTCCCGTCTTCGGTTCCTTCGCCAGGCCTTTCCGAGGCCGTTTTTAAATCCCAAGTCGAAGTCCCGTCTTCTGTTCCTTCACTCGGCCTGTCCGAGGCCGTTTTTAAACCCGAAGTCCCGTCTTCTTCGGGTTCGCCCGGCCCCGGGGGGGTTGGATCGGGCGGCGCGTCGTCGAGCTCCGTCGCCAGCTCCCACGCCGCGGCGAGTTGGAGGCGGAGGCGGTGGCGGGCGTTCTGGATCCGACAAAGCGCCGCGGCAGGGACGTCGTCGGCCTCCAACGGGCACTCGAAGACGAACTCATCGGGGTACTTCGTCCCTTTGACGACAAAAAAAACCATCGCGGCGCTGACGGGGGAAATGGGCCCTTTGATTTCCCTCTGAGGATGAATCGCGGGTGAAAGAAGAGGGTTTGGTGAGGGCGCGAACGGCGTTTCGCACTTCACTGACTTCCACAAGGATCCCCCCCCTACACACACACACACACCACTTCCCTTTCTCGAAAGGCCGCTTGACTGAGTTTGGTAGGCTACGAAAGGAAAAGAAGAACTCACCACAGTGAAGGAAAAGAAGAACCAATTGAAGGGATTGGGGGGGGGGGAAATCCCCATCTAACAGGAAACCCCAGCGACGCATCGCTGGTTCATATTCATCACTCTTTAGGCTTAGGTATTGGAAAGAAACAACAACAACAACAACAACGCCGACTGCTTAGTATCGCGCTAACAGGATTGATGCCTCGCATCTTCTTTCCCGTCCACGGGTCTATATTATACTATCCCTTTTACTTTTTTCCTTGGGGTCTGGGGGAGGGGCATGCCGGGCCGTGGAAAGGCCCGAGCCCGATGACCCCCCCCCTCTCCCCCCTCCATTTTCCTCGCCCTTCAAAGCGATTCGCGCAGTTTAGTCAACAGCTCGATCAAAACCCGGCCGAGGGTGGTGTCCTTGAGCGGATGCCAGCCCAGCGTGGCGTTCTTTTTCTTCTGCACCGCGCGCAGGGCGGCGGCCTGGAGGGCGACCCAGCGGAGGGCCCCCGCGAGGGACGGGGCGGCCTCGTCGGGCGCGGCGCCCCCTTCCCGCGCGGGGTCCCGGCAGACCTCCAAAATCGCGCGAACGGCGAGCACGTGGGCGTCCTGCGCGGCGGCGAGCAGCTCCTCGGCCGAGCTCCACGCCCGGGGGTCGTGGCCCTGCAGGAAGTCGCGCAGGAAGGCCAGGCTGCGGCCCCCCTGCGCGTCCCGCGTATCGCGCAGGCCGAGGTCCACCACGGCCAGGCTGACGACCTTCGCGAAGACCCGCTCCGCCCCGGCGTAGCGCGGCAGGATCTCCCGCAGCGTCTGCAAATACGACACGCCCTTGTAGAGCAGGAGGCAGCGGAGGGCGATGTAGGCCTCGGCCGCCCGCGCGGGCGCCGCGTCGGCGTCGACGACGACCCGCACGGCGGCCTCCCCGACGGCGCGCAGGGGGACCGCCCCCCCATCCCCCACCCGACCGCCTCGGCGAGGGCGAACCAACTTTCCAGCCCGTCCGCGGCCGCGCCGGGGGCCTGCAGGAGGCAGAGGGGGAGGACGCCTTGGATCGCGTAGCCCGCGAGCGAGCGCGGCGGCGCCGGCCCCGCTTCGTCCTCCCCGCCCTCG